ACTGGGTCTGGGGCTTCCCAGAATGTGGCAGAAATTCCTACTAGGCGGGCGGGGTGGGGGAGGTGCTGTGGAGTTGTAGGGGGTGTTCCAAGGGGCTGGAAGAGGGTCTCACCCACGCTGCGCCTGGGTTGGGACCAGTCTTCTTTTTTGTTTTGATAGAAGGTCTCTGTGCATTTCAGACTCATAGTGATCTTCCTGTCTCAGCCTCCTCATGACTGGGATTACAATGTGTGCCACAATGTCCCATTTCAGGGTTGGCACGGCATGCCCAGGGTTCTGGGACACAGCATAGCATGTGTACTGGGGATCAAACCTGGGTCCTTGTGCTTCCCAGGCAGGTGCTTAGACCACCAAGCTATCGCTCCCCGGCCCTACCATTCCATTTTCTGATGTTCTCATTAATCTGCTTCTTTAGAGTATTGTAATTTATATTGTAGAAGTCTTTTGTGTCTTTGGTTAATATAATTCCTAAGTAGTCTTTTAAATTTTTATTATTTTATTTTATTTTTTAATGTATTTGGTTGTTACAGGGTCTTACTGTGCAGCTTGGACTCATAGTGATCCTCCTGTTTTCAGCCTCCCCTGGACTGGAATTATAGGTGTGTGCCACCACACGCAGTGTCTGTTAAGTATCCCTTTTATTTTTTTCTCTTGGTAGTATTTCAAATATATTAACCAGGTGTGGTGATAGTGGATATCTTCATCTTGCTCCTGAATTTTTTTTTTTTCAGTTTTAACTGTCTCATTTTTATTTATTTTTATTGAAAAATAAATATGAATGAGACAGTTTCACAGCTGATTAATAGGACAGTTTTGATAGTCACTACACTGTACATTGTTATCTTCTTAGTGGTTATCCATAGTACAGGAAGCAGACAGGATATTCTGTCCAAACACTGTTAGTACACCTCTTTCTTCTCATTGAATTAAGCGAAAGTAGCTGTAAATCTATCCTATTTTGTATATATAAATACAAAACGATCTTTCCTTTGTATCCTTTTTTTTTTGTCCTGTTGGAGGTGAATATTCTATTGGCATCTAAATACTATAGGTGTTTGAATTCAATTAAACAATCTAACACTGTCTAGCAGTCTATAATATTAGTGGGTTATTCTCAGAAGTTATTGACTTGAGCCTTTTATAGCTCATCATATTAATATGGATTTACTTTATGTACCTCGTTTTTATATTTTTCTGCTGGATGGTTAAGACCAAGATATAGCAAGACCTATATAACAAGAAATGTAACTTTTGTATTTGATAAGGTCAGCCAAGTACCCTCAGGATTTATCCTGTCGCCCTGTACCGCCCTTTGTACATCCTTTTGTCAGTGTCTGACATGAAAATGAGTCACGGCCAATGCTTGACCAATTTGCTCTCTGTGAAAGCTTGAGAAAATGTTTTTTCTCTCCATGTGACTCTCCCCAGGCTCACTTTATATCATCAAACACATTCCTCTGTGGGTCCATAATCTTCTTGATCAGAAAATTTGGTTGCTTGTGATTTAATATGAAAAGCTTTCAGTATATTCCCCTTTAATGTGATTTGGTAGTAAGATTGCCATAAGCAATACCAGATTGGAATAAGTCCTTCTCTATTTTCTTCAGCTTTTATCATGAATGGATACTGGATTTGTCAAAGGCATTTTCTGTATCTATTGAGATGATCATGTTATTTTTGTCTGTTTAATGTGGTACATTATATTTATTGATTTACATATGGTCAACCATCCTTGCATCCTTGAGGTGAAGCCTACTTGGTCATGATGAGTTTTTGATGACTCACTGCATTGCTTGTCAGTATCTTGTTGAGGATTTTTTTGTGTCTATGTTAAGGAGACTGGCCTATTTTTTTTTTTTTTTTAAAGTTGAATCCTTGTCTAATTTTAGAATTAAGGTAAGGAAAGGTTTCCAGGAATTAGTTTGCAAATATTCCTTCCCTTTGAATTTCATCAGTGTTTGAGAAGTACTGGTCTTATAACTTTTCTGAAACTCTTCTGGAATTTAGTTTTATCTTTGTTTTCTTCTTTTTTTCTTTCCCTCTCTTCCTCCCTCCCTTCCTTCCTCTTTGAGTCTCATAAGTAGCCCAGGTTGGCCTTGAAGTTACAGTGATCCTCCTGCCTCAGCCTCCCAAGTGCTAAATTTTAAAGTCACACAGCCCATGCCCACTTTATGTATGCAACAGTATTCTTTATCTCTGTGATTTCTGTTTGGCACCTTTTCTTGATGTTTAAGTATTTATTTATTTATTTTTGAAGTTTAGGTTTTTGATAAATTTGTCACTCATGTTTTTAATAGTTTGGGTCAGCTAGCCTCATTTTTGTTTCTTCCATAACCACATGGTTTAGTTTGTTTGTTAGTGCTACTATCTTTGGGTTTTATCTTTTTTGAACTGCGTTTCTTTGATTTTTATTTAATCATTACGTGCAGCTCAGCTATCTGGTTTGACTTCTCCATTGATGCTCCTTGAGGGAGCTGTTTTGGGAGAGTTCTGAGTCTCTGGAGGCATTCTGTTGCCTTGATTTTTGATGCACTCTTATTGTGACTTTGACTAAGATCTAAGGTCAAAGAGAGTGGAGAGACTTTATTGGTAGTGTGATGACTTCTTTAGTTAGGGTCTGTTTTTCAGTAATGTGTTCTTGTTTCTAATGTCAAGAGGTACTGTTTATCACTTCAATTTACTCAATTTCATTGGGCTGGACCTCATCACTGTGTTGTAAGGAGAGAATTTCTACTGGTTATAACAGTGTCAACAGATCCAGCCACACGTCAATCTTTTACCCTTTTATCAGTATTACTTATACACTGTATTACTGTGCTTACTGTGGACGGGGAGAGGTAGGGGAAAATTGATGAATTATGTCAGTGGGAAAAGAGCGAAGAGAAATGTCTGTATGTGGAAAATAGGAGGTTAGGCTGTGGGAATTATTTACAGTTGGGGTACAGGGCTAGTTGGGGGGGTTTGACAGTATTTGTGTAGGAGGGAAGAGGTATGCAGATGGGTGTGTGTGTGTGGAGACTCAGAGGCTGTGGATTGTCAGAATGTGCAAATCTATTTATAGTTTTGATGTTTATTTATTTATTTGGTACAGGTCTCGCTTTGCAGCTTAGACTCCTAGGGATCCTCCTGTCTTAGCCTCTCCAGTGCTGGGATTATAGGCATGTGCCACCACGCCTGGTTTCAGTGGCTGAACAGTGTGCCCAGGGTTCTCGGATCAGAATGGCATGTGGTACTAGGGATTGAACCCAAGTCCTTTAACTTGCTAGGCGCTTAGTCCTGAGGAATCTCACCAGCCCTTCAGCCCTGTAGTTTTGGTTGGATCCTCTAAACTGAATTTTGTTAAGGATCACCTTGACTGCCCTTAAACGGTACTGTTTAAATTACAGCACTGTTCATTCTTATTCTCTAATGCACACTAGAGGCTACTGCGTGTCTGTCTGTCTCTATATATATCTATAAATCTATCTATCTATCAAGCAAAGAAAAACTTTTATAAATGTGTATATGCTTTTTTTGGTGTTT